ACAGGGCGTTAAGAGAGATAGAAGTTGAAATTTTCATATATTTCATGTGAAGGAATAGTTTTTCTTTTAATCCTTATTCTATAATGGACTATTTCCTAAAATTATAGAACCAGAGATAAGACGGCTCCATTCATTGAATCCGATTTAACAATCAGAAAAGTACATCGTTATAGACAACTGAAGTAGTAAAAAATTATGAAACACCTGCATTCAAATACTTGTTTCTATAGTTTTGGCCAATGCTATAGTTGTCTCGAGAAGATTAAAGAAGAGAGTCTAACTTTCATGAAATAGATGGATTTTATAGTCGAAAAAGAAATTCGATTATTTATATTTCGAATGTTTTGGTTTTTTGTCCTGCCTGCATTACACTTTTCTGGTCACATGACTTGGCACTGATGCTTTCTTAAATGAGCTATATTATTTGTTATTTTTATCGATTGATAATAAAGTTGACATTCTTTGATAGGATCAATGAGCCAATGTTCCTAAACAATAGTCTGTTATGTCAAACAAGGTATTTAAAATTATTCAGAATATCAAATCTTCTCTTTATTTATTGTTCACCCTTTCGTTTCTCAAAAGAAAAATAAATAAATAAATAAAAGAAAGATTAACGAAATGCTTTCGTAATTCTTATAAGTTTTTGACTTATGAATGGTTGTGTTTTTGCTATCAAAAGAGACACACTTCATAAAAAAACCAATACTTGTTAAAGCTAAATGTGAATGAATGGATTTTGAGAACTATTTTAGTAATTAATGATGATATTGTAGTTGAATGTTCAGTATATGTAACAGAATTAGCTGTTGGAAAGGACAACATTTGAGATAGACGAGATAAAAAAATAACAGGAAAGCAGTTGAAATCTAATTCGAACTGTATCTTCTTGTTTCTTACGATCAGAGTTATCCTTTTTTATTAAATATGAACAAGTATTAGTTAAAAAGACTGCAAAATATGAATAACATCTACTTTGGTTATCTAATATTTAATAAAAAAGATGTATATTTCTCTAGTATTAGTTGTCAATACTTATATCGGCGAAACAAGTGTCTCAAAATCAACTATCCTGAAGAAAAATTAATATACGAAAATTTTCTTATGAATAATTTCCTTTAACTCAAATTGATCTTGGTATATGACGTCCTTGAGTAAGTTAACCTAACAATATTGGTTGATATGAATACTCAATTTAGCTCGATGAACATGTCAATTTTTTGATTTTTAATGACAGTAAAAAGTTCTTGATTCGAGTGAAACTCTACTACTATCTATTTGCCCTAAACTTGTATGGAAAAAAAAAACTTTTTATTTTAAAAATTAACATATGATACATTCATCGATGCAATATTTCACTCTCGAAGCATTTTTGTATCTTTGCTGATAAGCAACAACTGATTGTTAATTAAAGTGTATAATTTATTAGTCAGACGTAGCCGATGACTCGTGATTCAATATCGACAAAAATATAATCATATCTAATAGAGCTATCAATAAAAAAATCTTCTATTTATCACTCGTTTTTTTTCACTTATTGATCCAATTCAAATCATACGTAAATAAACAGATATTATATCATTTGTCTGACAGCTATAGCGCCTGTTATTTGCTAAAAGACAAAAATAAAGAATAAATGCATCTCTTATGAACTCAACAACATAACAGTTGTTTCTTCTATTGTATGAGAAATCTCTATTGGTTATTTATATCTTAATATTCAGCTCCTTCTTTTTTATTTCTTTCTTCTTAATATCAGTCTTATACGATATATAATAAGTAACAATAATGAATTTATCAACTTAACGACAAATAGATCATCAGTATGGGTAGATCAACAATTAATTATTTGTATTATTAGTGCATTATTTGGTACTTTTCTTTTTATTATAACATTTATTGTACCAGCTATGATTATTTTATATCGAATAAGACATGATAAACGTCACGTAAATTTAAGAAAACTACGATGTATTACTGATTTTATATAATAGAATTTGAAATTTAAAGAAAAATGAAAAATAAAATAAAAAGCGAAATTCTTTCAAAAGAAAGTCATTGAACAACACAACTTTTATGAAAACAATTTGTATAAATTTTAGTAAAAAAATGGAATTTGAAATTCTCGGATCATTATTAACAGGCAAAGTATTAAGAGCTTGTGAATTTATGTTGCTGTTTTCTTATGGTTGAAATATTAGTTCTGCATATCGCACAAAAGTTGCTAGGGTAATTCTTTCACTAAAATGTTAGTCTCTGATGTGTTAAATATCAACAAACCAAAGGACGATATTTCGACTGAAGATTTTTCTCATTGACAGTTGTTTTTTGGGACTTGAACATCTCGCAAATAAAATATTCTTGTTTGAACTGAAACTTTTAGAGTATTCGACTGACAAATAGATCGATTCATATGTAAAATCTCAGATTACTATCATTTGTACCAGAGATGCAGAATCTACCGCTAAAATGAAAAACTTTCTCAAACGGCAATTTTTTCACGAAAAATTTCCTTCACTATTAAATTCAAGCAGAGATTCTTTTGGAAGATTGTGAAATTGTTTCCTGAGAGAGAAAAGTAACAACTGAGTAGAGAATTTAATTTGGTGCAAAACTGCCCGCAGTGGACTACATAGTAGACATTATATGAAAAGTTGAAAATCTACTTTTTGCAAGATTCGAAAAGTGCTACACATACTTCGAACTGTAGACTATTTAATAGCGTTAAATTAGCCTGAAAATAGTATCATTTATGCAATTGACATTTTTTATGGAATTCATTGAACTGGCAATCGAAAACAATACATACTACAAATTTGCATAGTGTCAGCTATCTGTTAATAAAAATAAGCGTTCAATTACTACTGATCTTTCCTGAGAATAAAATTTTCTTTTTTCTCCTTTGTGATTTTCTATATGATTCTATAAGTAAAATGAACGCGCCCCTCATATTCTAATTTGATACTGATTCAAGCTTTCCTAGAACATTCTTTCATATTTCATCTATGACTAGAATTAACATAATTGCTGTTGCATCTCACATGGGAAGCTTTCTAAAAATTCATGATTTCTCGTATTTTCTATTTTTTTCGACTCAGAAATGTCTTCATTCAATAAAAAGATAATGATACAATCATATTTATAGAGAAATATTTTTCTTCAAATTTTTTCACTATGAAGATTTGCTCAGCTGAATATTTCGAAAGAGACTGTTCTGTCTGTCGATTTTGTTTTTGGCTAGATTTTCCGCGTCGGAGCAAAGTTAGCGAGATTAACATCTACTCCATCATAGAAGTACGAACATTCAAAAAAAAAAGAGAAAAATTATAAAGACTATTCAGAAACGGATCTGCTGAAATTTGATTTCTACTACAATATTCTACATAAGTGTTAGAACAAATATTTGGAAGAAAAAGTTTCGAAACAGAAAATGTCAAAATATCGAAAAAAAGCTGATTCCGGATAAAACTTTACTATTGTTTTCGATTGATTTAATGTAGTCTATATGCTTTAACTGTTTAAGTGAACACATTCACCATGTTATTCAGAATTTAATTGTGCATCCAATGGTACCAGAATTAGCATTTTATAGGATGAGTTTGACTTGTGACTACTCGCTAAAAGAAAAAGGTATCATTCCAGGACGAGCATTACGACAGTCGTAAACGATTGTATACGACCGTATATCATCGTGTCGTATACAGCGCCGATTGTCATCATACTCCATATAACCTTTTCCTACCCTCCAAATAGTACAAAAACTAATATTTGGGATGCCAAGTCTGGCTGAACCTTCCAATTCTTTTTTGTCATGTAGCTAAGATAATAGATCATCGAAACTACGTGAGAAAAAAAAGAATTAGAACCTTCAGCCAAATTGGACATCCCTATTTATTTAAATTAATATGTTCACTTATATTTATCTTTATGAATAATCTAAAAATAAAGAATAAAATTTATTTAAATAATTTAAAATTGAAAGATTCGAGTAGTTTTACTATCAAAAACAGCAGTTAAAAAACATGATCGAGCTGTGCATATAAGTATTTTTAATTTTTTCTATATGAATAATATAGAAAAATAAGAAAAAAATTAGATACACAGCTCTATTCTGTTTTTCAACTACTCTTCTTCATAATGAAACTAATCAAATCAATAATTCTCGAATGAGTAAATAGAACAGGCAAGATCGACATTATGTTCTGATGTATGTTTCTTTTTTGTATGAATCTTATATGATCTAATAACATCTGACAAGAAGCATTCAGTCTGTGCTTATACGTTTCTTAATCTGTAAATTTCGTAAGATTTTTGCTCGCATGTTATAGTCAGAATCTGAAGAAATCTTTAAAAAAAAACGAAGACATACTATATTATCGGATCTTGTGACAAGAGCATAGAAAAAATCCTATAAAGATTAGATCTTATTGAATCTTGTACGATCTAACATCAGGTTTTTTGTTGTGGGAAGAGTTGTATGGTCGACACATGCAACTCAACGTATACTACGATCGTGCCTTTTTGACCTGAGATACTGAACCTTTTTCAGTTCTAGCGAACATGTCTAGAACTGAAGAAGGTGCCAAAAACAAAAGCTTCAGTATGACAACTTTTTTTTTTATAGAGAGTAGATAATTTTCCATAATGCACCCAAATATACCTCTAGATGTTAGTTCGTAACTTTTTCCATCTCCTTAACAAAACACTCAGAATCATGCTAAGATCGTAAGCATGTAGAGCGATATAGGTAGAAAAACAAGAACTTGCAATTTAATAATTCAATAGGTTTTCATTCCATAAAGTTTATGCCTGCATGAAAAGTCTATTCGAAAAACAAACTTGACAGTTTTGTAAACAAGCAGACTTATTTATCCAGCAAGATCAGAATTGAAATTCGAGCAAATATTAAATTTCTGATAAATAGAACATCAGACTACGATATGCATTATAGAACATTCATTATTTTTCAAACAATTTTTCCGAACAGTCGTTCGCGCACGCGGAGTAGATTCTGCACCTCTGATTTGTACATAAAAATTAAATTTTTGAGAGATTTTTTTTTCCCATACTTGAAATTAGTGACATCTAGAATCTATTTTTTTGCAAATGTAAAGAGATTAAGTGTAAAGATTTCATAATAATTTGATATTAATTATAATTCTTAGTTTAATTTGAACTTATATTTAAAAAAAAATCATTTATTATTCTTTGTCGAGGTTTTACTCAGCTCCCTGAATGCTCCATCACAATGACAGTAATGTCGACGAATGAAATGAACAAGAATAAGAGCGAATAACCGCTACTACATTTGCACATACTACGTATATAATCTAGTTTGCTTGTTTATTTACTTCTGTTCGATATATTTTCTTCTCTTATTCCCTATTTTTATTATTAAGAAAAAAAAAAAGCCTATTTAAATTTTCTATTTATATATATATCTCTAAATCTTCATTGAATAAAGTATGAATTATTAAGCAAAAAAAAATCTCTTTGACTTTATATATTTTTCTTTTTTTATTAAATTCAGGAATGAAGACATGGAAAACGAAACTTTACAACGCCGTTCAACGGCTACAATCCAGAATATGGGTACAAAGTTTTTTTATCTTTTAAACAATAAATTATTATTTATTTTTCTTTATTAGGAATAAATTCTTATTCTACATTTGACGATCAAAGTGATCTTACTAACGATAAATTACCTGTACTACAACAAAATACACATTGTATTACTCAAGAACAACGTATATCTGATTTAAAACATACATTCTACAACGAACAGTTATCTTCAAGGTTAATTAATAAACTTTGATTTTTTTTTTAAATATATAAAAATTTTTATTTTAGTAATACAACAATGAATTGGGATATGGAATCTAATTATATATGTCCATCAGTTGTACATCATTCTTCAAATAATAATTATATACATTTAAGTGAATGTATATTACAAACAAATCCATCAACAACAATTATTCAAAATCCACAAACAATAAAATTAAGTAAGAAAATATTTTATCAAACAAAACAATATATTAGTTATTCTTCATATATATATAGATAATGATGATGAAATACAACAAGATAATATTAATAATACAACACAACAATCATCATTAATAACAAAACAAAATTTTACAAATTTTACTAATACAGATCTCAATGGTAAAAATAATTTATTAAAAAAAAAAAAGATTTTTGATTTTATTCTTTTAGGTTCAAAAGTAATTCGTCTTGTTCGTGCTAAACAAGCTACAAAACGTAAATCAAGTTTAGATACATTAATTGAAGTTGTACAAAAAGAATTACTTCGTGTTAATGGTCAAACAAATTCAACATCACCACCATCATCACCACCACCATCAACATCTCATTATTCTCAAACACGTTCATCAACATCATCAAAACAACAATCACAACAACATCGAACAATTATATCATCTGTATTACCATCATCACATCCAAGTTCATTAACATCACAATCAAATCATTCATTTAAAATAGCACGTAAACGAACAAATCATCATTTAAATAATAATAATAATACAAAACGAATACCATTAAATCGACATCGTAATAAATCATTTAATAATAATAATGATAATTTTACAGATGATATGGATTTTATGGATAATAATGAACAACAACAACAATTAAATGAATCTATAGAGGATGATAATAATAATCAACAATCATCATCATCGGAAAATGTTGAAGAAATTGTTCGTGATACTGTTGATAAACTTGTTGCAATAACATTACTTAATAATGCACCATTTATTGTTAATATGATAACTGGTACATCTGGTAATAATACAACAAATATAAATAATGAATCGAAACCATTAACAAATATTGTTAATACAAATGTAAGTATTATGTTTTTTTGTTAATTATTTTATTTTATTTATTCTTTTTCTAGACTACATCTACAATAAAACCTATAACAACATCATCAGATTATTATCGTAATGATCTTGCATTACTTTCAACAACTGCAAGTGAATTACGAAATTCAATGCAACAAATATCACCTATTAAACAACCGACAACAACAATTTCAACTGAACAAATTAAACCTTCAACATCAACATTATTTGTTACACCATCACGTATATTAAATTTACAAACAGTTATACCAAAACCAACAACAAATATTCAAATTGGTAATACAAAAATTATACTTGTTTCATCATCAACAAATCTTCCATCACCTTCATCTCAACAACAACAACAAACACTTGTGAATAATAGTCCAGTTAAATTAGTTAAATTAACATCAACATTACCAAAAAATGTTCAAATTGTTATACCATCTCGAACAACAAATGAATCTCTTTCAACAACAATTCATCCATTAACAACATGTTCTATTGATCAAATACCACAAGCAGCACAAGAAGTAACAATAACAACATCATCATCATCAAATATAAATAAATTACGTCGACGTTCATCAAGTACAACACCAACAGATAAACCTGTTGGTAAAATTTTACGACCTATTGCAAAAGTTCTACCTGTTTATTCATCAAATAATAGTAATCATGGTTAGTTTTTAATATTTATAAAACATTGAAATATGTTTTTTTTTGTTTTTTATTAGTAACTAGTCCATCATCAACTTTAATAACAAATTCAAAACATGATGAAATAACTAAACCAATGGCAATTAATTTTCAACAACGATCAACATCAACACATGGTCCAATGATATATCGAATGACATCAGTGAATTCAAGTATATCTTCGTTGTTTCAAAAGAAATATAAAATGAAAAATAATTTTTTTTTTTTTTTTTTTTTTCTAGATGTACCTGTATTTCGTGTACATGCAACAACAACAACTCCGACAACATCAACAATTAATACTGATTCAAAACCAATATCAGTTGCTACAACTACAAATATGTGTTATGAATCTAAACAAACACATAATACTACAACAACAACAGGTGGATCTGTATCTGTACTTGCTTGTTTTAAAACAACAAAGAAAAGAAATAAGGTTTGTCAATGTTTGTATAGAAAAGACCATTCTCTATCTAATAGTATATCCATTATCACGTATAGATAGTGAAAGTTTTTTTTTTTACAAGTATACATAATCAATATCGTATAGCTGTCTTTTCTGATCTTTATCTTATATTAAATAATAAAGTGTTAACAGTAGCTTATGATTTAACTTAGTTAGTTTGATAGTAAAAGCATGTATATCGATTCGAATATGATTAATTTTCTTAACCCTTTACCCCTCAATGACTAATGAATTAGCCATTTTTAGAAATGATTGCCAAACACAAAGAAAGCATAGAATTTGAAAACTGATAAGAACACTTTTTCCAGTCAACTTTATGAGCTATCTATCGATTGATTAAAAGTATCATTTTGTTTTTTATCGCTCCGTTTTTGCGTACTCAAAAAGTGAGTACACTCTAGAATCAGTCAGTGTGTCCGTCCGTTTACACGATAACTCTTCACAATTACATTCGATTGAACTGAAATGTTGTGCACAGAATAGTCTCATCAATATCTCGATCGAGTTCGAAGACGAGAAGGATTCGTCAAGAAATGGCTGAGTTATCGAAAAAATTGTCATTATTGACCAGACCATCCCTGAGGAGGGGTACAGGGATTTTTTCAAAAAAATATTTTTCTCAGAATTATTCACAACATATATAAATCGACTCAGTTTTTAACGCTGATTCCGAATCTGATATTAGTTTTGAACCAAATCGTAGCTTTCTAACAAAACATCGCCTGAAAAAGGTCTCAAAATGCACAAAAACTGCATCCAGAAACCAAATTGTCTAGATATGTCTCACATGACCAGTATTTTTGGGCTTTCCCAAATACCTGGTTTTGTAGCTAGTCAAAAGGACTATCGAAAGGTAAAAACTCGCACTCGATAGCTCTTAACATTGGTGATTTATTAAGAAAATACTGATGCCTGTATCTATCATATATCTCTTATAGATTCATGAGGTTGCTTACGATCGTAATCCCGCTAGATACAAACGCAAATCAATTCAAAAATAACTCTTCTTACTCAGTATTCCAAGCTAAACACAAATCTGAACTCAATTTCTGTGATTTCTAAAGATATTATATTACTCTGAGAGTAGAGTCAGTAGTCACCGGATGGGATCGCATACAGTGTGGTCCATGCTAACTTAGCACGCCTGTATTTTCTCCTTGTAATTTAGTGATAAAAAACAAAGTGAATATACCTTTTCACTTTTTGAAGTACACATAACACTCGGATTTAAATCCGAGATTTTCGCATTTATTTTGAAATACAATTACTCGGTGAATCAGACTATATTATTGTCATATTAGATACGCTAGTACTCTATTCGTATAGTTATTATATTGGTGACTCTTCTGGAATCGCTGTAAAAGGTTAACATACAATGTATGTTTTTTCAATTATAAATTTAAAATTTTATGAAACTTAATATATTGATAATCTGTCTTAGATTGAATTATTCTATTTTAAGGAACGAGCTATTATGCCACGTCCAAGTACAATAGATTCTGTAGATACTTCTCATGATTTACAACAACGATTAAATACTACAACAACTAGTAATGTGCCTTTAACAATTAATAATCATAGTACAACAGTTGATATAACAAATGGTAATTCAACAATATTTTCATCATCTGATTATCGTCAACAATCAACATCAACACATCTTATACAACAATATAATTTATCAACATTAAAACAACAACATAATGATTCAACAATATCATCATATGATCTTAATATATCATCTTCAAATAGTATTCCAATAAAACATTGTAATTTAAATACAATTAAAACAATAACAACACCATTAATATCACCAATATGTTCAACAACAAATATACGACCATTAATGGAAGATAAATGTATACAATGTATTGATGATAATGAGAACAGTACTGAACATAATGAACAATTAATAAAAAAACGAAATGGACAATCTCATGATGATGATGATGATGATAATAATTTGTCTAATGATGAAAGTTGGACAGTAGCAGCTGACACGTAATATATATTTTTCTTGAAACAAAAAAAAAAACATTTTGTTTTTTTCCTCTATCTTATATTAATTTTAGTCTTCTTCGTAATGTTCTATCACAATATGGTTTTCGTTTTTTGGATGTTAATTGTCAACAAAATTTATTAGCTAAATTTGATATTATTCAAGCTAATCTTGTTGTAAGTTTAATTAAATCATTCAAAATAACAGATCGTTTATGCGGTTTTTAAAAGACACATAAATGATCTGATTTTCGCGGTTTTTCAAAATGCGGAACAAAACCGCGGTTAACCTCAGATTACCACGATTTTTTTTCTGAAGAATTTTTCCGTGGGTACATAAATGTTCGACATGGGACAATTTCTCGTGATCCGATCCGAGTCGGATACTGTCATACATACAGATAACTAACTAATAATTTTAAAAACTATGATTTTTTTTTGTTTTTTATAATAACTTCTGAATTTTTAAACGAAACTTAATCGATTTGAATTCTACATATGTGTAAAATTATAGACAACACAATCATTGAAATCGAAAAGAGATTCACAGGGTAGAATTCGTCATCGGAGACAGTGTAATAGATTGATGTTTGTATAAAGTACCTATGTCATGTATATTAATATTGAAATTATTATCCGTTTTAAAATATAATGTGCTCGACTTTTTTTGTAATAAGTTAAGAATGGAAAGAGCTACGATTTTTCCATTCTTAACTTATTACAAAAATAGTGGAGTACATTATATTGTAAAATGAATAATATGTATAGTTACCTGTATTTTCTGTTTTTTTGTAGAGTGGTATGATATCATCAAAAGATGAATTTTATAAATCTGTTTATGATATAAAAGAAAGTTTACTTAAAAATGGTCTATCAAAAATATCTGCTGATAATCTAGAAAAATTATTTAATTATTTTGAAGTTGAATATCCAAAAATTCGTGATGGTGATACAATTATTCGAACAAATGATCGAGTAAATAAAATTCAATAAATATATATATATATATATACGATTTTTGTTTTGTAGAAACGAACACGACGACAATAGAAAACTGACTATGTCGGATTTTTTTTTTTTTGTTTTTCTTTTAGTGTTTCTCTTCTCACCTATTATATGTACATATGCATTTCTTTCTTCTTCTTTTTTTTTGCCTTGATAAAAAAAAAAACAACTGCTACTTTTTTTCTTTTGTTCGTTTTTCCGTTACTGTTTTTTTTTTTTTTTTGCTTCTTCGTTTGTTTTCTCGGTTAAAAGATCGTACAGTAGAACTTGCAATATATATATATATATATCAGAAAAAAAAAACAAGAAACAAATATCATGTTCTATTCTTCCAAAACAAAGCATTAAATCATCAAAAAAAACAAAAAAAAATTGCATCCTGTGACTTTTTGTTTTGATAACACAAAAACAAAGCAAAGTATACGATCAATCGATGAAAGAGAAATGACTTTTACATGTCATTTTTTTCTCTCATTATGTGTATTATTTTATCATGTTTTTCTTTTTTTTTCTTTTCGTTTGGTTTTTTTTTTTTTGTTTTGTTCTCGACTTGTTCATGTGAGAGAGATAAAAAGATCTATTTATCATTTTCACCCACCACATATATAGTTGTTTATACATGATGTGTTTATTTAAAAATAAAAAAAAAAAAGAACGGACAAGAAGATATGTATATATATATATACATCGTATTTATTGTTTTGAAAAAATCATTTCTAGATGAATCTTTAATAAAAAATGCCAAAAAATTCAGAAACAATAACCACCAAAGAATGTCATGATTGTGGACAAAGTGGTAAGTTATTTATTAAGTGGGTGTGTAAGTATGTGGTTGTTAATATTTTTCTTTCTATGAATACACACCCCACAGACACACCCACATGAGTCATAACAATATGATATTTATATATTAAGGTCCTGAATGGTGTTCAATCAATCATGGTGTACTTCTATGTGATGAATGTTGTAGTGTACATTTAAGTCTTGGTCGACATATATCACAAATAAAATCTTTTAAACGAAGTTATTGGCCACCAAATCAATTAAATGTAAAAAAATAGAAAATTATTTTTTTTTATATATATATAGTCAGGAGTGTAAATAGGGTGGGGTTATTTTAATGCAGAATCCATACGAACGAAGACGTTACGCCTCCCCTGCCTTAGAGATCGAGTTACGTCCCTGTATATAACTTATAATTTTTTCTAGTTAATACATGAATTAAGTTCTAATGGTGCTAATCTTGTTTGGGAATATGGTCTACTTGATCCACAAAATAAAGTACCAAGAAAAAAGCCATCAGCTAAAGATGCATTACCGTAAAAGATAATTCTTTTTTTTTTTTGAAGAAACAAAAAGAAATATATATTTGATTTAGAATAAAAGCAGATTTTATTCGAACAAAATATCAACAAATGGCTTATATAAATCGATTAAAAGATGAAACAAATGGAACATTTGAAGATTTACATTTAGTATGAATGATTAGTTTTGTTTTTTTTTTTCATTTAAATATTTATAGAATTAACTTTTTTTTTTGTTTTTCTAAAGCAATTACATTCAATTGCTCGAACAGATAATGTTGTTACATGTTTAAGATTTCTATCACAAGGTGCTGATCCAAATTTTAAAAATCCAGTATGATTTAAAAAAAAATACTTTGTTTTGTTTTCTTTATTAATAATAAAAGAAATATTATATTACGATTAGGAAACAGGTACATCATCTGTACATGTTGCTGCAAGTCGTGGTCAACAAAATCAAATTGAAGTAAAAAAAACAAAATTTTCGATAGTTATTAAAATATTATTTTTTGTTTTTGTTTTCAAAGCTTCTTTGTATATTTGGTGGTGATCCAGCAGCAGTTGATAGTTCTGGAATGTCACCAGAAGAACACGCAAGGTTTAATAATAAAATAAATTTATTATTTTTTATTGTTTTTTTTTTTTATAGAATTAATGGTTATTTTGATTTAGCTGATCGATTAATTGAACTTCAATATGAATTAACTGATCGTCTTACTTATTTTATTGGTAGTAAACGACCTGATCATAAAACAGGACAACATATTATACTTCCTGAACTTAATGAAAAGTATTATTAAATTATAATCATAGAAATAAATATATATTTATTTTAATTTAAAATAGTCTTGATATATCTGATCAAGCACTTCTTGCTCGTAAAAAACTTCAACAAGTAAAAACAAAAACAAAAAAAAAAAAGAAAATTCTTATTTTTTTTTTTTGTTATATTAGTTACCTGATCAACTTTTTGAAGATCTTGCTATGGATGTATTTGATGAAGTTGAACGACGAGAATTGAATACAAGTAAAATTCAAAATTTTCTTTTTTTTGTTAATATAATTTAATTATATAGTTTGGCATGCACAAGTTGATAAAGCATTAATACCTTTACATGTTGTACCATTTCTACCTGTTAATCCTGCATTTTCAGCAACACGAAATCAGGTATGATAATTTTCATATAGAATTTATACAAAAAAAAGTTAAATTTCAATAGAACTACTATGTTCATTAAATTTGAGATGATTAACTAAATAGTCTTTTAAGAATACGAGTCATAAATCATTATTTTGATTGTTAATTGTATACCATATGGTAATGGTAATTAGAATAAGTCAATTATACTAATATAATAGCAACTATATATAGATGATTTATTGATAGTATTTATTTTTATCAGTAACTTTCCTTCGATGTTATTTGACTATGAAGAATATTTTCAGTTCGATAGATTATATCTTCAGCTAGGATAAAATTCAATAATTCTTAGATGATTTTCTAATTTTAAATTTTTTAAAATTTTTTAGGGTCGTCAAAAATTAGCACGTTATGGTCCAAAAGAATTTACTACTTTTATATATGATATATTAAATGAAGTTCGTCGTCGATATTATGGTATTATTCCACAATCACCTGTATCAACATCGAAATGTATTTTATTTTTATTTTTTTTCTAATCAATTTCTTTTTTTTTTTATTTATTTTGTAATAGTTCATACATTACCACGACAAAATAATCAAATGAATATGTCAAATACAAATGCTTCTGTATCAACACAAGATATATTAAATGTGAATGGTCCATCATCAATATCAACAACAACTGCATTAATAAATGCATTTATTGATAGTGATGATGAACCACTTTATGATAAAGTTGCATCTGATGAAGATTATAGTATTTTACCTAATAATGAACAACAAAAACGTAGTAAAATAAATAAGAAAATAAAAAAAGTAAAAAGACAATTTTTTTTTATTAAAAAAAAAAAAATAATTTTTTATATTTTAGCCATCAACAATTGATTCTTCAAAAGAATATTTAGATGGTATATTACAATCACCAACTGAAGTAAATTATTTCATAAAAATTTACTTTTTTTTTATATTGTTTTTTTTAATAGAGTTTAAATTTATCAGAAATTTCAAATGAAGATCCAACACGAAATCAACGTTCATATGATTTAAAATCACGTGTTGCTAATACAGAACTTCAACTTAAATATTTAGCTTGTGCTCATATTGATTTAAAAAATGAATTAGCTGTTTTACATCAAATGGTAATAACAATTATTGTTTTTTATTTACATATATATATATATAATATTAGATTCAACGATTACTTGATGAAAATCTTTTAACTAAAGTTGATCAACAAGTATCAAATGATATAACAACAAATCAAAATAATATATCATCTTCACAAATGCAAAATAATACAACGAATTTAATTAATAATGATGATATAAATAGAGTTATTAATAAAGTAAGTTACTTTTTTGTTTTTTTTTTATTTTGAGTTTATTAAAATTATTCTAAAGTTTTCGAATAGAGAAATATACAAAATTGATCAATCACTTTTTAGTCGAGGCTATATGCATCATGTAGGTCCTAGCAGAGATGTCCATCGCGGTTGAAAACTGACCGCTGCCGCGCCGCGACGATAAAAGAAAAAACCTACCGCGCCGCTGCTGCGATGGCTGTTAGAATAATGTTGTGAATTTTGCGATCTGTGACTGTTCAGGACTTGAGCTGTTGTTACCAATCGATAAGATTCGTTGAATCTCATAGTTTTGCACTTGCAAACATTGAAATTCTGTTCGAATTCATGCATTTTTGCATTGTTCTCCAAAAAACCTACCGCTATCGCGCCGCCACCGCGGCAGCGGTCGCGCCGCGATGGACATCTCTGATTCATAGCTCCCTAGGACCTACATGAATCAAAAGTGATTGATCAGTTTTGCATGTTGTTCCCTCGTCAGTTGTAAGTGTTACATATTTCTAACTCGATTTCTTTTTTTGTTTTTAGTCAACTCAACAATTATTTGATAATCATAGTCGAAAATCAAGTCCAATTGTTGAAAGTGATTATGATAATACAACAGTTATAGAAGATCCTGAAAAGTAATATATATATGCTATTGAAATTTTTCTTTAAAAAAACAAAACTATTTAGTCCATCATTAAATTCAACTCGACGAATAGCACATAGTCATGACAAACGGTATTTTATTTTAAAAAAAAATATATATTGTAATCTTTGAAATTTAATTCTTTAGATCTAGTCGTAGTATGCAAAGATTTCCACAAGTAGAAGAAAATTCAACAAATATTTTAAATAATTCTCGTTCATTTCGTTCAACTGATTATATAAATTCCAATAATGAAATATCAATAATAAAATCTTCAACAAATCAATCATCACAAATTCAAACATCAATTATTCCAATAAGTAATGGTCGTGCTCGATCATGTTCAGGTGGACGAAATAAAGCAATGTCACCTCCAATTTTATCACGAAAAGGTATTTGAAATAAAAAAAGGAAAACCTAAAAAAATGAATATTTTTTTAGGTTCATGTGGACAAGCCGAACCTACTGGTGATATTGATAAACGAACACGTAAAATAACTCATCGTATTGCAGAATTATTTAGTTTAATAAAAGAAAATCAATCGGATCGGTAAAAAAAAAAAAAAAACAATATTTATAAATAAAAATTTCCATTTTTTTTTTTTTTAAGATATATTACATGTGCCGAACGAATTAATAATTCAGTTCAAGATATGATTCGTCTATTTGATAGAGTATATGATTTTTTCTTTTTTTAAATCTATTAAAAGAAATATTATTTAGATTTCATTAAATGATGAAATGCGAACAAATCTAGACATGTTAAATACAGGTGCTCAACAACTTCTAGCTCATGCAACATTAAAAGAAAAAACTTCAACAACAACAACAACAAATACTAATCGTACGGAACATATTCAATATATTATTGATGATTGTTATAATATTGCACTTGCAACGAAAAGTCTTGTTGGACTTTATCAAAAATTATAGACAATATATACATAGTAAATATTAGTGCATAAAACTTCTTTTTTTTCTTTTTTAATATGATATCTGTCTAGTATTATTTGTTCGTCTTTCATTATTACACAAAAAAAACAAATATTCGTTTTTTTTAAATGTTTGTTTATATTAATCGATATAATCATTTATGTAATATAAACAAAAAATTAGCTATGCTAGTTAAAATTTACTAACTCAGGTGTATTATTAATATTCTATCTCCGGATAAAAAAAAAAAAAAGGAAAAAAAGTTATTATCAATCTCATTTATATCATATTTACTCTTTCATTTTCTGTATTCATGTGTGTGTGTACATTCTTTTTTTTTTTCTACTCTTTTTAAATAAATATAATAGTTGTATTCAATAGAATATCTTAAGTATGAAATTATAAATAATTTGTCATGTGATATGTCATAAACTTTATCAGTAGATAACAAATATATTAATTTTCTTTGACTAAGTGAAAAATGCCTAAAGATAATAATTGTTGTTTCTTTTACGTATATATAATACAAATAAATCTTATCTTATCGTTTCTTTTGTAAATATTCGAGAAAGTTCTTGATGAGTAATCTTTTTTTCTTTTTTATTTTGTCAAGCTTAAGTTTACATCAGAAATCATTGTAAAGAAAAAGAAAAATATGTCAAAGAAGGATTTTTGCTTTTTTTATATCAATAATAATACCTCGATGTTTTTTTTTCTTTCTTTGTTTCATTCATGTAAAAATCATCATAATATAATAAATTGTTATTTGCGTTTGTTTGAAGTAAAAGCTTTAATGTTGTTTTTTTTTTCAACAGGACATATTTATTTTACTACGCAAAAAAAAAAGGAGAAAAAAAAACCATAGAAAACTTTCGATCTATGTTGAAGAAAATTTGACTTAATCAACAATCTGACTTGAGTCACACAGTATCGGAAAAGTCATAATCAACAACATAGAAAAGACTCTACACATAAAAACAACTGAATAAATAACATATAGGAAGACAAACATAACGAATGGCACACAATCAAGGGAGAAAAAAAAACAAATCGCAAGATCGAAAAATAATTTCAAAAAAAAAAAAACAATTTTTTGTTATTTTTATTCTTTTTTTCTCGTTCTTTTGTTTTATATCACACAGTTGAATGAGAGAAAATAAAAATAAAAATAAAAACAAATCGAAGAATTTCACTGTTATCAATCGATCAAACGAAATAAACAATACAAGAATTAATTCTATTTTTGTTAAGTCAAAATTTCAAAAATATGAAAAAAAACAAAACTCAAACAGACTAGAAATGACTCTTGTTATTGTCTGCCACATGAAAAACAAAAAACCTATTGCAAGATCCTGATTAGAAAGAGAAAAAGAAACATCACCGTTTATGTCAACGACAGAGAGACTCAGCCGTATGTACAAAATACTGCTTTGCTATATACTCACATATATCTATATATATATATTAACAAAGAGATTGCATGAGAGAAGAAAAAAATCAACAACAAAGCACTATTGTACAAGTAAGGAAAAGTCATTCTCAAAGATCAAAAGAGAAAACCAAAAAAAAAAAAATGCCTTTTAAATTTATGATTCTAACCTTTAACAGATATATATTGTGCTGGAAATTTTTCATAAGTTTTTGTTATATAAAATGGACTATAAAAACCTCTATTATTATTATTTTTATGATATGATTTTTGTTGAAATTTTTCTTTTGGTATTTCATTTTGTTTTTTTTTAATATCAATTGAAAGATTTTCATTATTATTAGTATTTAAATACCATGATTCAGGTGGTTTTGGTAATAATGAACATTCAGGTGGATCAGCATATATTTGAGAATAAAATAATGGTACAGCTGGTGATGAACTAGCTGATATAGCAATAGGTGAATTTGTATGAGAATAATGACGATATTGAGAATTTGAATTTTTTATATATGATAAATTAATATTACTATTATTCGATCGTATATAATTTGAATTTGATACAGATTGTAGATGAGAATTTTTTGTACGTTGTTGTTTCGAAGGTGATTTTCGATTGTTCATGTTTTTTGTCAATTGAAAAGAACGAGAAATCTAAAAGAATTTTATTAAAATGTTTGAAAGAAAAGTTTCATATGCAAATGGCAAAGAAAAAGTGATGATAGATAAATATAAACCTTCAATCAACAGTATTATATTCTCGTATTAATTATTAATAGAAGAAAAAAAAACGCACAACAACAAGCAAGTTAGGCTAAAAATCAAAACTACAATCTCATTTATATATTTCCCCACTACAATCACCTATTCATATAGACCTTCTACACAGCTGTCTACTTAAATCTATTCATATATATATATATCTACGCACACAACGGTTTAAAAAAACGGAGAATCAATGAAGTAACTATGTGTCATTTATCGAACAACGCATTACATCAGCATTCTTACAAAATTAATGTTTTTTTTTTTTCTTCTTCTAATCTTAATGAATCATTTAGAAAAAGAAAAAAAAAAAACAAGGATATATTTACAAATAGAAATAACGATTTTTTAATATGTAAAATACAATTGACCTTCTCTGTCTAGCGGACATACGGACAAATATAAAGAAGAATTTTATGCATTTATTCACACACATGTCTCGTATAGAATATGTGTATAACTATAAATGGAGTTTCTCGTTTTGTTTTTTTTTTCTTTCTCTCTCTTTCTCCATCATTCTTTTTTGATATGTGCATATTTGCCTACGCCTTTTAGCATTAAAATTATCGACGACATAGCAAATAAGCAAGTGGGAAAAGAAAGAAGAAATATATATATATAATTATCGATTGATGCGAGAGATACTAAGTGCATACTTATATCATTGATTAACTATAACAATATTGAACTAATAGGAAAACAACAAAAAAAAGTGATTTGTATTTATATATTTTTAGCGACAAAACAACAAAATAAAAAATGAAGGTTGTTGCTAGACAACAGTATAGATTAATGAATACATCGCATTATACGCATTTGTATATGTGTCATAGATAAGTTGTTGAAAACAAAAAAAAAACTATGGCAGAAAAACCATCGGTTATGTTAACTAATGGCGGTTTATGGAATACACAAAGATCACAATATAGTGCTGAAACAACTAAATTACTTAAGAGTAAAAAAAAAAACAAGAAAAATTTTCAATTAGATTTTTTTTTTTCGAATTGAATATATTATTTTTGTATAATCGTTTTCTTTTTTTAGCACTTATGGATGAATCTCGTATTAATAATTTTCAACGTCATCAACTTACAAAACATATGCTTCGTAAGTATATAAAATAAAAATTAATTTTTTCATAGTTTTTCTAAATAAAATTCCTTTTGAAAATTTTAATTATCAATAATTTAAAATTTAAGATTATGTTGACAAAATTCATTTAATATTTCATACAAAAAACTTGTTAAATATTATTTTTATTTGGTAGGTGGTGAATCATTACCAGAAAGACTTGGCCCATCATCAACACAAACAAAAGCACAAATAACTAAACGAATAGATACAACTCGACAATCAAGGTAAATATTCTTAAAAAAAAAATAAAATATTATTTTTACAATTAAGTATTCATTATGTTTATAGAACTTCACATGCTTCAGGATTACGTACTTATAATGATATTGTTAATTCAGGAGCTTATACACCACCTGATTATCATCCAAGACCAACAAGTAAATTGAAGAAATAATAAAAAAAAATTGTTTTTTTTTTTGTAGAAGTTCGTACTGAACAAGAAAAAGATCGTCTTGCACATTTAATGGCATATGGAATTGATCCAACAAAAATGGCATTACAAGCAGCACAACGTTCACCAACACCACCACCACCACGTGAACTTGATCGATTTGATGAATGTATGTTCAAATTCTTGGGTTTTTTTTTTTATATAATAGTCTATTTAAAAAAAGAAAAATCATTTCTTTTTGTAGTAATACTTGAAATTGAAGAAAGAAAACAATTTCTTGATCAAATGACTACACTTGGTAAAAGAAAAGAATATCAACAAGTTATATCAAATGAAATTGCTGATGTTCGTATAATAAAAAAATTATATTTTATTTATTTATTTATTTTTCTTTTGTAGAAAATACGTGAAATGGAACAAATTGATCGACAACGTTCAAAAGCCTTAGAAAAACGTTTAAAAGAACATTCCTAATAGACAAATATATATATATATAGAATCAAATAGAATATTTATTTTAATTTTAAAATTACTTTCAAGATAGTTCGATAAAATTGAATAACAATTCGAAAGTATATTTAGTAAATATATAAATATGTTAAAAAAAGTAATTTTCGTTCTTTAAAATCTTGAAATATAATTCCTTGTAATAATTCTATGAAAGTTTATTGGAAAATTTCGAATTTAATGATGATTAAGTCAAGAAGTATTGAGACAATATGTTTCTTCGTATTCCAATTGATTAAAGTGAAAGTCATCAGAACTTTCTGTTCTTTTCGAATCAAGCTTCAGATTTTTCATAAAAACATTAAAGTTTGAAGTTTATCAATGAATCTTTGAAAAAATCGATTTCATTATGCTTTACAAGTTTATATATCAGCATTTTCTTTGATTTGACTGTATCACATTTTGAACCTTATTCCGATTTCTTTTTTAAAAA